CGAAGCACGAATGACGAATGACGAATAGGCGGCGGTAGCCCCTTCGTCATTCGGAATTCGTCATTCGGGCTTCTGTTATTAGGGGCGTAGCTCAATTGGCAGAGCACCGGTCTCCAAAACCGGGGGTTGTGAGTTCGAGTCCCACCGCCCCTGCTGACCGGCGGCCGACCGGTCGCGATTGAAAGTTGATCGACGGATGCGACACAACCGCAGGATGCACGCCGCCGGCTAAGGGATGGCCAGCGGGTACGAGACAGGGCGGGCATTGACCGCCATCGCGACGAAGGCAAACACGGTGACCGCTTACCTCCAAGAACTGTTCCAGCTCAGGCTCTTCAAGCCGAAGCAAGGGCGCTACGCCCGGCAGTGGACGTTGATCGCAATCGGCGTCGTGCTGGCGTCAGGCGCCTGGTCGCTGCGGAATTGGCTTGAAGGAGAGGGGTTCGGCGACAACGTATCGATCGGCGTCCCCTTGGCCTTCCTGGCCGTTACGGGCTGGGCGGCGTTCCGCTTGATCCAGTTCCCCAAGTTCGCCGAGTTCCTCATCGCCGTCGAGGCGGAGATGGGCAAGGTGAGCTGGCCGACTCAGAATGAGTTGTTCAAGGCGTCGGGCGTTGTGATCTTCGTGATCTTCGGCCTAGCGGCGCTGCTGTTTCTGTACGACTGGATCCTGAAGTGGGTGCTGTCGGGGCAGATGCTTACGGATATCGCCGGTCTGTTCGGTTGAGCGGTGTCTGACATCATCGGGCCCGCCACGAGCCGGCCCACCGAGACGAGGTTACGTTGAGCGACGAAACGCTACCTACCGACTCCAAGCAGCCCGAAGCCGTGGACGAAACGTCCGCTGCCGCTGATGGCGGCTTGCCGGATGCCGATGCGGTCGACACGACGCCCGTTGAAGAGGCGGCCCCGGACGAAGCGGCCCTGGCGAAGGCGGCGTTGATCCGCGAGCTCGACGAGCTCGAGGCTCAGATGGACGACGACGAGCCTGTCGAGGAGGCCCCCGCCGGGCCCATCGAGGAGCTCGGCGCCGGCGAGTTCGACGAGGATATCCAGCTTGAGTGGTACATCCTCAAGGTGCAGAGTAACCGCGAGCGGACCGCGTCGGACGCGCTAAGGCGGAAGGTGGCCATCGAGGGGATCGACCGCTATTTCGGCGAGATCATCGTCCCGACCGAGAAGGTCACGGAGTTCAAGAGCGGCAAGAAGAAGACCGTCGAACGAAAGATCTGGCCGGGCTATATCGCCGTCCAGATGCACGTCAACGACGACACGTGGTTCGCGATCCGCGAGACGTCGGGCATCGGTGACTTTACGGGGGCGGCCGGCAAGCCGATTCCGATGAGCCCGGCCGACATCGCTAAGATCCTGCCCAAGGACGAGGGCGAGCAGGGCGAAGACGACGCGCCAAAGCTGAACATCAAGTTCGCCGAAGGCGACAAGGTGAAGGTCATCGACGGAAACTTCGAGAACTTCGAGGGCGACGTCGACACGATCGATCAGCAGAGTGGCAAGATCACGGTAATGATCAGCATTTTCGGCCGTTCGACGCCCGTCGAACTGGAATACTGGCAGGTAGAAAAGCTTTAGCAAGCGGGCTTACGCCTCGAGGGGCGGCGGCCTGAGGAAGAATCAAAGATGGCGAAGCAATTAGTCGGACAAGCGAAGTTCCAGATCCCGGGCGGGCAGGCCACGCCGGCGCCGCCGGTTGGTACGGCGCTCGGTAAGTACGGCGTGAACCTCGGCCAGTTCGTGCAGGCGTTCAACGACGCCACGCGCGAAGCAAACGGGATGATGATCCCGGTCGTGGTGAGCGTTTACAACGACCGCTCGTTCGAGTTTATCACCAAGAGCCCCCCCGCAGCCGTGCTGCTGAAGAAGACGGCCGGCTTGGCCAAGGGGTCCGGCGTGCCGAACAAGACCAAGGTCGGCAAGGTGACCCAGGCCCAGCTGGAGGACATCGCCAAGATGAAGATGAACGACCTCAACGCCCGCGACCTGGAGCACGCGTCGCGGATGATTGCCGGCACGGCCCGCAGTATGGGGCTTGTGGTCGAGGGCTAAAAAGCGCAAATTAGTCGATTCGAGTTAAGCGACGCACCGAAGGTGGGACGCCGGACCCCGTGAGCCGGCGGTTTGGACCACACTTCCCCCCTATCGCCCCAACGCGGCTTGGCAGCTGGCGCAGGGCCTTTCACCCGTCACCGGGGAGTGAAGCAGCGATGCCTAAAGTAAGTAAGCGGTTGAAGTCCGCTAATAAGAAGCGGCCGGCCGACGCGCTGCCGCTCAGCGAAGCGGTCGCGACTCTGAAGAGCTTCGACGCCGCGAAGTTCGACCAGTCGGTCGAGGTGGCGATGCGTCTAGGCGTCGACCACACGCAAGCGGATCAGATTGTCCGCGGCTCGATCGTGCTGCCTAACGGCATCGGCAAGGTTCAGCGGATCGTCGTGTTCGCGAAGGGCCCCGCCGCGAAAGCGGCCGAGGCAGCCGGCGCCGACCATGTCGGTGATGACGAGCTAGCGAAGAGGATCATGGACGGCTGGACGGACTTCGACGTTTGTATCGCCACCCCCGACATGATGAAGACCATCAGCCCGCTGGGTCGGGTGCTTGGCCCGCGTGGTTTGATGCCATCGCCCCGTGCCGGCACGGTGACGCCCGATCCGGCCACCGTTGTTAATGAATACAAGGCCGGTAAGGTCGAGTTCCGCAATGACAAGGGCGGGAACGTCCAGGCGATTGTCGGCAAGCTGAGTTTCGACAACGACAAGCTCGCCGCCAACATCGCCGCCTTCGTCGATAAGGTCGTCGCCATGAAGCCGTCGGCGGTAAAGGGCATCTACGTCAAGAGTGTTTACATCTCGGCGACGATGAGCCCCAGCGTTCGTCTGGCGGTGTAATCGGTTCTGCTTTTTCGCCGCAGTCGAGACGACGCGGCTCACCGGGACTCGCGTCCCTTCAAGCCTACAGCCCCAAGACTCAGGCCCCTCGCCATGAGCAAGTACGTCAAAGAGTTGATGACCGACGACCTCGCGTCCAAGTGGGACGGCGTCGGCGAGCTGATGCTCGTGAGCATGGTCGGCATGGAAGCCAACGACACGGTGGCTTTGCGCAAGCGGCTTCGTGATAAGAACATCCAGATGATGGTGGTCAAGAACAGCTTGGCCCGGCGTGCGACCGAAGGGACCACGCTGGCGCCGGCGTTCGAGGGCGCGAAGGGCGCTCAAGCCGTCGTCTGGGGCGCCGAGGATGTCGTGGCCCTGGCCAAGGAAGTGATGGCGGTCGCCGAGACGCCGCAATTCAAGCTGTTCGCCCCGACCGGCGGCGTGCTCGACGGCTCGAAGCTGTCCGCCGACGACGTGAAGGCCGTCAGCAAGTGGCCGAGCCGCGCCGAGATGCTGAGCATCATTTCGGGCCAGATCATGGGCCCGGCGATGACGCTGTCCGCTCAGCTGCTCGGCCCAGCGAAGATGCTCGCCAGCCAAATCAAACAGAAGGGCGACGAAGAGGGTGGCGAGGAGTAATCCTCCGCAGCCTCTGCCCGCTAGAGACTTGTCGCGGCGCCGTCGGTGAAGGTGGCGTGGCGGCGAAGAATGAATGACCGGCTCGGCTTGTGGCGCAGCCTCAGCAGCGATTGCCACATCCGGACGACGAGAGACGCGACGAACCCCCGTTCGACCTTACGAGGCCGATCTGACCAGCCTGGGCCGGCCGGCCCGTAGCAACGATTTTTAAGAGAGAAGCAAAGATGAGCGAAGAAGCCGTGGCGGAAGCGCGTGAGTTTGCCGGCGCCATNNGCCATCAAGGAGATGGGCGACAAGATCGTCGGTCTGACCCTGAAGGAAGCCAAGGAGCTGAGCGACTACCTGAAGGAAGTCCACGGCATCGAGCCGGCCGCTGGTGGCGGCGCGGTGGTGATGGCCGCTCCTGCCGATGGTGGTGGCGCCGCCCCCGCTGAGGAGCAGACCGAATTCGACGTCGTTCTCGAGTCGTTCGGCGACAACAAG